AACTTTGCTAAGACTCAGAGCACTAGCCTCCTGTTGGAGCGTACATCATTGTTTATGAAGACAGTGTCTCTCAAGAGCCTTAAAAATGCTCACATTCTTTTATTTACATTTTAGCACTCATGTAGCCCTTCCTTTGTGTCAGATATTTCTCGATGTTAACTCATTTAATGCTCATAACTCTATGAGGTTAACTTTATTACTATCATGTCTTAAGGATGCAGAATTAATGGCCCAGAGAGGTTAAGTAATTAGCTCAAGGTCACACAGGCATTAAGGGGAATGGGATTCAAACCTATGACAACTGGGCTCCAAAGTCTGTATCATGTTGTGCCCACTTAAGGGATCCTATCCTGAGGAAGTAATCCCAAATGCAAACAAAATGTGTACCCAAAGATAATCCCCTGGTGTTATTTATGACAGCAAAATTCGAGATAGCCTACATGGTAAGGGTTCAATGAAGCACACCATGTACATGAATTACTGTGCAACTGTTTCAAATGACTTCCACAGTTTTTCTAATGACGGAGTTAAATGGTAAAGAAATATTAAGTGAGAAATTGATACAAAACTATATTTTTAAAAATCTGAACTATGTTAAAAAAATACACAGAAGTAGTCCAGCAGAAGTCCTTGTCATTCAGACCACCACTTGAGGGGGTGGGATTTGCAGCAATGTGGGCTTTCTTTCCTTCTTTCATTTTCTTTCGATTTTATTATAATTTATGTACTTTCCAATTTTCTCAGAAATATTCTTTTTCTGATTGGGGAAATTTTTCCTTAAGGAAAAAAAACCGCTTATAAGAGCACAGCTCTATATGCATTATCATATTTCTTCAAAATTTTAAAAGGCACCATGAACCAGGTGCAAAAGGGACTTAGAAGAAAAACTGAGCAACAGACAGGACTGGAAAGCCCTAAAGGTATCGGCAGAGGAGACAGGCATATCGCTGGTAATTTAAGTCTTCGTGTTAAAACAGAGAGGGGAAGAGGAAGGTGCGACTCTGGTAGAGCGCATGCTTATCATGCATGCGGTCCTGGGTTCAATCCCCAACACCTCCATTAAAAAAATTAAAAATAAACCTAATTACCTCCCCCCAACAAAAAAATAAACAAATACATTTTTAAAATTTAAAAAAATTAAGTTACATATTTAAAAAAAGAAAAGAAAACACAGAGATGCCTAAGCCACAAACTGTGAAACAAGGTAAGTAGCAGCCGGACCTCACATGCGGCTGTTACTGTTAGGAATAACAGAGATCATTCCGGTAGGAGGTTAGCATAGCCTTTAATAAGATGATGTTGTAATTAGCACGAGGCTCCCACTATTTTATTTAAATGGGATTTCTTAGAGTCCTCAACGTTGATTTGTTAAGTCATAGGGTTTCAGAACCAAGCCATTAAGGAGATGTTAGAATCCTCCTCTCCCAGGGCCTTTGGGTTAGAGTAGGAACATTGTGGGCTGGGTAAAATTGCCTCCTGGGGTGCTCCTTCCATAGCCTGGACCTTTCCTGAGTCGCTATGCAAATTCTCATCACACTCCCCTTCCCCATGAGGAAACGGCTCTGACACCCAGCTATAGAGAAGTCTCATTGGCTTGGCTGCAGCCCCTGGTTAGACATGGAACAGTCCACCCCAAAGCCCAGGCTCCCCACCCCGCTTCTATTCAGTGGTTCGCCAGAGTTTTTGTAGAGCTAGGTCTTGTCTACAGGAGCATGGAGCTGGCCTAAGGTGAGGCTGGAGGGAGGGACAGTCAGAGAGGTGGGTGTAGTCCTGAGGGCCTTCCAAGGTTAAAGACATCCATGGAAAATGGATGGAGAGGTGCCTGGGAGAATGAATGACTGAGTCTGTTAATTACATCTTAGAGAATGTGGTCTTTGAGATGGAGTCTGAGGAAGAAAGTGAGGAATCCTATTCCAGGCAGAGAAGGTAGCAGGAGCTGAGATGGGCAAGGGTTGGGTGGGTAGTCATTCACTCATTAGGCAGCCGTGTCTGAGCACTAGTTTATTTGACATTACAAGGTGGGAGGGCTTCTTGGGTTGTTGGAACCTAGGTGACGGGAGATAAAGTAGTGGGGGTGGATTAGGGTCCTACAGAGAGGGGTGTTGGATACCAAATGGAGGATGCCCACAACCCAGGAGCCATCTGGGTGCAGGGTGAAAACTCGAGATGGGCTGGAGAAGGGACCCTTGGCAGGGTTCTCTTTAGACACAGAAAGCTTCGATGTACACATCACCTGTGCCTGTTGCTTATCGCCTCTAAGTCTCAAGTTCAATCCACCATCAGCTCCCCCTTGGTGGAAAGGGGCCAGTGTCTTTGTTTTCTCCCCAACCTACAGGGTGAGCTGTTTCCTGACTTTTACCTTCACATAATTAAAACCAAACAAAAACGAAAACAAAAACAAAAAAACAAACCTGCTCCTATCCCATAGCACTCGGTTGTCTCCCTCCCAGCCCAAGTCTGAGGGTCTGTGTTCTTATTCACACTTCTGTGATCCAGATCCGTTTTCAAGCAAAGTCTTCTTTCCAGAGCTCCCCAGTCTTCCACTCTGTTCCTCCTCCCCGGAGCCCGCTCTCTTCTCCTCCCGTCTACAGAGAAACTTAGATGGCATTTAACCTCCCAGTTGGTCTTCCCCAGCTTCCTTACTTAAGACTGCAAACCCTTTGCACCCTCATTGAACCTAAAACCTCAAATCTCTTTTACCCTTTCAAGATTGGAGGCTAAACCAAAAGGCCAGATTTGATCAAGAGCTTAATCTGCGGCATTCTCATCTCAGTCCCCAGTTAGTATGCAGGGGCAGCAGCCCTGGTGAGTGAGCGAGAACCCAGACTCGGGTCAGCAGACCTGGGAATGAATTTCTCTCTCTTCCCTGGCAGGGTGGGCACAGGCAAGTGACTTGACTTTTCTGTGCAAAGATTAAATGAGAAAATGTGTACTAAAGGTAAACTAACCTTTAACAGATAAGC